AGTTCCACGGGTTGACTATTTGCTTTGTGAAGAAGAACTTTCGCATATTAGTTTGAAGCCTGCTACCCATTCATTTCATTTGGTGTCCTCTAGTCCTTCTATTATGGGAACTAATGAAGAACTTTTCTTGATGCACCCTCTCCACACCACTCATGCTTTTACAGACCTCTATCATATCCCCCCTCAGTCTCCTCTTTTCTAAGCTGAGAAGTACCAGTCTCTTTAGCTTCTCTTCATATGGGACCTGTTCCAAATCCCTGATCATCATAGTGATAGAGATGTAGCCGTGTTAGTCTGGGGTAGTTGAAGCAAAATGCAGGACAATGTAGCACTTTAAAGACTAACAAGATGGTTTATTAGATGATGAGCTTTCGTGGGCCAGACCCACTTCTGGCCCTAGTGATTAGGGACCCCTAGTCATGGACCAGGGACTCTGGGGCTCACCTGTGCCTTATATTGACTAGTCTTCCATTGAACCAATGCTCCCAGCAATTTTTAACAGATCTTTTTGTTGGCCATGATGAATTCAGCATTGAGCTACTTTCCAGCCTGGGGTGGGAGTCTGACAATCTGGGCAGCATTCCCAGCTCTGCTACTGTAAGACCTGGGGCAGATCTGTACTGCAGTGTCTTTATGTATCAAATGGGGAGTCCTACTGACCTGCAGAACTTTGTGAGGGGAGAGGGACTGCAAAGGAGAACTCTGGAACTGTCAAGCACTCTTATGCTGGAGGGGTGATGACAGAGACAGGCAAACAGGAGTATTAGACTTGGGACCAGCCCCAAAGGGCAGCCTTGGGTTTTTATGCTGTCATTGTTTGGGGTGTCAGAACCCCTGGGCTGTGTCTACACTGGGCCACTTATTCCGGAAAATCAGCTGCTTTTCCGGAATAAGCTGCGAGCTGTCTACACTGGCCCTTGAATTTCCGGAAAAGCAACGATGCTCTACTGTACAAAAACAGCCGCTATTCCGGAAAAACTATTCTGCTCCCTCTCGGGCATAAGTCCTTATTCCGGAACACTGTTCTGGAAAAGGGCCAGTGTAGACAGCCCAGTAGTCTTTTCCGGAAAAAAGCCCCGATCGCGAAAATGGCGATCGGGGCTCTTTTCCGGAAAAGCTCGTCTACATTGGCCACAGACGCTTTTCTGGAAAAAGGGCTTTTCCGGAAAAGCAGCCTGCCAATGTAGACGCTCCTTTTCCGGAAAAACTGAAAACGGAATAGTATTCCGTTTTAAGCATTTCTGGAAATTCATGCCAGTGTAGACATAGCCCTGGTGTTGGGTTAGGCCCATTTCCACAGACAGTGGGATTCTTCTCCCATCATAACGTGCTGAATTACACAACAGAGACGAGGATACATGAGATATTCTCTGGGTACACATGGAAGACTAACTCCAGAGCTGTCTCTGAGCATTTCTGGATGCCCAGTGTAAGGGGAGTGTGTAGTAGCATATTTCTCACAACCATTAGTGGCTTTCATGATGCAGGTAAGGATTTCTCCTATCTCCCCTGCCACACGGCCCTTGGAGCAGAGAATCTGACCTAGGAAGCAAAAGAACCTGCTGTGGTGAGGTCGGATATGTGTCAGAGGGACTGGAATCAGCCATTCTGCTGGTGCTGATAATAGGGGTGAATTCAGGCTGGAAGCAGAGACCCTGTGGACATTGGTTATGGATTGTAGGGAGGCTAAAAGCAGGAGTGCCCTGGCCACACTAGGCCACGCTGCATTCAGGTGCGGGGCTGCAGCTGTGGTAGGCAAACCCCCACTAGCTTTGATCTAGCTAACACAGCTAAAAAAAGAGCAATGGAAAAGGATTGGTAGCATGAGTTTTGCTATGGACTGTAGAGGCCACCTCGGAACCCTGAGTACTGTACTTGTATTGCTTGCGTGCATTAGAGCCTGTGCTGCTGCAGCCTCATTAGGGATGTAAAGGATTAACTGGTTACCCAGTAAGCAGCAGCCTTACCAGCATGCATCACCAGTTAACTGGTGGCTCAGCTGGGCCAGAGCAATCCCCACCCATAATATGCTCTAGACGGGGAGCTGCTCCAGGGTTAGCTGGTAAAACATAGTATTTAACTAGTTAACTTTTTAACTGGGAATGTACATCCTTAATCCTCGCTGCTATGCGCAGTGTGCTAGCTACTTTAAAAGCTAGAGCAGGTGTGCCTGCCCAACTGTAACAGCATCTAGAGCAGGTGTGCCTGTCCAACAGCATCTTGCCTCTTGAAGTATGCCTTTGCTGTCCTGGCACTTGTTGAAATGAAGGGGAGGGCCTTTCAAAACTACTGTGGGTAGGGGCTAGTGGCAATAAGTTGAGTGTGCACAGTCAATGGATTTTGTATATTAAAACAAATACCATTTTAATTATTTGGTGTCTACAGCTTGAACCTCTCTTGTCTGGTAACATCAGTGGTCCGGCATGATTTTTAGTTAGCCAGATGTCCACTTATCATGGATGTGGCCAAGTTTCCCACAGTCCCCAGTCCTAGCTCTCAGTGTTCTGTGCTGTTATTTAGCTCTAATTTATCCCAAAGGCTGTGTCTAGACTGGCCAGTTTTTCAGCAAAATCAACTGCTTTTGCAGAAAAACTTGCCAGCTGTCTACACTGGCCCCTTGAATTTCCACAAGAACACTGACGATCTCATGTAAGATCATCAGTGTTCTTGCAGAAATACTGTGCTGCTCCCGTTCGGGCAAAAGCCCTCTTGCGCAAATCATTTGCGCAAGAGGGCCAGTGTAGACAGCACAGTATTGTTTTGCGCAAAAAAGCCCCGATGGCTAAAATGGCGATCAGGGCTTTTTTGCGCAAAAGCGCGTCTAGATTGGCATGGACGCTTTTCCGCAAAAAGTGCTTTTGCGGAAAAGCGTCCGTGCCAATCTAGACGCTCTTTTCCGAAAATGCTTTTAACTGAAAAAACTTTTCCGTTAAAAGCATTTCTGGAAAATCATGCCAGTGTAGACGTAGCCTAAATGTCTTCTAAGAGCCCAGTAAGCAGTGGAAATATTGATCAATATTGTCTAGCAATATTTCCTTCCTGTGATTTGACAAATTATCTGGTTTGGCACCAGTCAAGTCCTGCAGGTGCCTGATTAGAGAGATTCAACCTGTATTTCAGTCCTTAAAACTCCCCTGCTCCTACAGGGCAATTGCTGCTAAATAACTCAGGTGGGTGGAATGTAAGGGCCCAAGGGCTGTGTATGCTGAAGGTGTGTTTCTCTGGGCCTCTTTGGAAGAAGTACTTGTTCTTGAGTCCTCTGCAGCTCATTGTATCTTTCAAATACCTCAAAAACCAAAGGTCCATGTGTCCTGTTTGCACCTTAAACATCCCGGGCTACGTCTACACTGGCATGATTTTCCAAAAATGCTTTTAACGGAAAAGTTTTCCGTTAAAAGCATTTCCGCAAAAACACGTCTAGATTGGCAGGATGCTTTTCCGCAAAAGCACTTTTTGCGGAAAAGCGTCCATGGCCAATCTAGACGCGGTTTTCCGCAAAAAAGCCCCGATCGCCATTTTTGCGATCGGGGCTTTTTTGCAGAAAACAGTACTATGATGTCTACACTGGCCCTTTTGCACAAAAGTTTTTCGGAAAAATACTTTTGCCCGAACGGGAGCAGCATAGTATTTCCAGAAAAGCACTGACGATCTTACATGAGATCGGCAGTGCTTTTCCGGAAATTCAAGGGGCCAGTGTAGACAGCTGACAAGTTTTTCCGCAAAAGCAGATGATTTTGCGGAAAAACTTGCCAGTCTAGACACAGCCCCTCTGTCCCTTTCCTTAAGGGTAGGCATTTGCCCCAGTGTTCTTGGACAATTCTTTACCTTCTTCCTCATTGCCATGAAGTGCGTTGCAAGACTGGCTGCTGTCCTTCTCTTCAGAGGTGTCTGCATTTCAGTGGTGCTCTGCAGAAGTGGCTTGTTTAGCGCTCTGGTGCCAGGGTCCTTACATTAAAGTGTAAATAATTCATTAATTGTTTATTACTTGGCTCCTTTGCCACGTTCAATGTAGCTACTCTGCTTTAATCAGTATCAATTGATTTCTGAAAAAACCAGAATATTGAGTGCTTGCCACTATGCATACCCATGACACAGACTAACTGTGGAGCCCTTATTCAGTGCAGAGTTAAGTGCATCGAAAGTGGTTGCTGCTGTTCCTAGGAGACTGGTTGTGCGCTTTTACCCCTCATAGGGCACATACAGAAGTTACTCCGAATAGCACTTAGGTATTCTTCACGTCATATGTGACATTAACAACCACTTCCCTGTAATTCACAGATAAAACAAAAGCGGTCCTAAGATAGTATCTCACTGCGGGACTTGGAATGATGTAAAAGTAGGTCCAGAAACAGGTGGCTAGAAACAGGTCCAGCTTCACCCTACACGGTTTTGCTATTGCCCCTCCATCCTGCTGTGCTACTTCTGGGTTCCTCACACAGTTCTGACAGTGCCCCTCACTCCTGCCCCTAAGTTGTTTGTGCCCCTGCCCAGCTATTCCACTCCTGGATGCCAGAGG